AGTGCTATGTGCTAACCTTTGCCGAGTACTGCAGGTAGGTGTAGTTAGTGCCTTGCACCTGTAGCTGGCCTCTCCCCTCGGACTCACCAAAGGTGGTTTGGGAAAACTGCATGGAAGTTCCCAAAGAAATCACTTCATGCTCTGGGCCCAATCTTACTGGTTTAGCACTTTGTTCCCTAAAACCTTCCTCTAACGCAGTTTCTCAACCTGTAGATCACAACCCGTTTGAGGGTCAAACAACCCTTTCACAGGGGTCACCTAAGACCATTGGAAAACACAGATCTTTATGATTCATAACAACAAAATTACAATTGTGAAGTAGCGATGAAAACAATTTTATGGTTTGGGGTCCCCACAACATGAATTAAAGGGTGGCAGCATTGGTAAGGTTGAGAACCACTGCTCTAACACCTTTTGTTTGCTTGGTTTGTTTGTTTAGTTCCATTTGAGACAGTCTCTCTATGTAGCTCTGGCTATCCTAGAACTCAATGTGTAGGCCAAGCTGGCCTCGAACTCAGATCTGCCTGCCTCTACCTGGCATTAAAGGTGTGCACTACTACACTTGGCTGGGATTTTATTTTTTAATTATCAGACAGAACTGTCCCTTCCTAAGGTAGAATAATAAGAGAACACAGGTTAACCCAAACTCCCTGATCATGTTTAGGTCCACTAGTGTTCTGAGAGAAATCTAGGAAAATGGGAGGTATTTGGGGAGGAAGCTTTGGAAGGAGGTGTATGTGTCCTGGAGTCAACTGGAAGTTGATGGAGTGTACACAGCCTTGGGGATAAGAATGGAGGCGGTGTCATCCTCTCAGTTCCCACTCGGTGGGTAGAGTGGGAAGAAATTGGTTTTGTTAGAAAAGTAACTATGCTGAAGACAGTACTGGTCTATTGCTGCAGATTCTGTGCCATGGCCAAGCGCCGAGGTGAGGGCCTTCCCAGCCGAAAGACAGCACTGGTGCCCCCATCTTCAGACTACTCTACCCCACCACACCGCACAGTGCCGGAGGACACGGATCCTGAGCTGGTGTTCCTTTGCCGCCATGTCTATGACTTCCGCCATGGCCGCATCCTCAAGAACCCCCAGTAGCCTCTTCATGCTCATACTCGGGCTGCCTTCGGGAGAGTGGGGCCTGGGGTAGGGGACACTGCTTGAAGCACAGCACTTGGTTAAGGGGCCATGGGTTGCTGGCCTATGGTTCTCTGGGGGGTAGGGGGGAAGGCATATGGATTCTGGGCCACGTGGGAGAAAGGGAGGCCAGGATATGAGAAAGGAACCTGAGCCCTCAGCTTGGCCTGAGGTGTGCCCATCTGTGCACCCCAGGGTAAAGACTCCGAAGATTCAGTCTTCCCTTAGGTTGGGCCAAACCTGAGGGACATGGGCCAAGGCAGGGCAGGGGCAAGTAGAAGGGGTAAGGTCCCTCCAGAAACAGGCCCACCAGGCCCTTTCGAGCCTTCCCAGGCCTCCAAGGGTGGCAGGAGCCAGCTTTACCTCACCCACTGTGACCCACTGCTTCCCTGTCAGCCTGGGACCAGGTTCTGCAGATCTAGCACAGCTCTGGCTTGCTCCATGAGTCAAGAGAGCCAAGCTTTGACTTCCTCTTCCTGGACTCAAGGCTTTTCCCTGGCTTTCTTCCTTTACCCCTGCAGTAGCTACTGGTGCTGGCACAAGTTGACCGGGCCCACCCATGGGTGTCTGCCTCCCGTCGACTTTCCATTAAGGGCCACCCAGCAGGTCTGGCTTCCCAGAGTACTGGTCAACATGGAGCTTGTCGTATCTGAAAGAGCTGATGAGTGCTGGGAGAGAGGGTGGGGGGCAGGGGACAAGGAAAATTGCTACCTGATTTGTTGAAGATTTTTCCTCTTGCCTTATACTTGGAGGTTCTGGGAAACCTCTTGCAGAACTTCACACATGACTCTTCAAGCCACACCCACCTGAAATCAAACCAAAGGAGTGCTGTGGCTCCCCTCGCCCTGCCACCCCTTACCCCTCATCTTTTGTAGATTGCACTAATTTACATCCCAGTGAGAATCAACACTGTATCAGTCCACAGACCAGAGCTGCAGCCACTCACTCTAGGAGCTAGGACCTGCATTTTCAGTTTGTTCTCACCTCATGCTCCTACCAGAGATGGGTCAGGAGGCTGGGTCCCCTGTTGTCCTAGCCTGGGCCTGGGCTCTCTGAGAGGCTGGAAGCCTGGTTATTTGTACCTTCTTAGTACCAAAGAGGAGCATGGGGTTAGGGAGGGTGCAGTGTGGTTGGGTTTGGGCCCAACACTGGGAACCTGCCAGCCAAGCACTTCTACAAGGGCATGCTCCAGGGGCATACGCTGTGGGAGGTGACACTGGGTCCTCCCCTGGAGAGGGGAGATGCAGGCACTGGGGTTAGTACAGTCTGGCACAGGCTACAGTGGGAGATGGAAGTGAGCCCTGAAGGCAAAGCCCTGGCAACTCCAGGTCCAGGTCCTGATTCTTAGAAAATAGATTGATTGCTCCTGATGGGTGATGGGCTGGGTGAGGGCCTGAAGGCTTCAGAGGTTAAGTTTTGTTTTGGAAGCCCTGTCCCAGCCCCAAAGGGAAAGATTTTGTATTGAAAAAGCTCTTTAGAGGAAGGCATCAGTCTGGAAGAGCAAGGGACAAGTAAGAGGCTGGCAGAGTGGCAGTGGACCCTTTGGGAGCCTGCTCGTTCTAGGGTGCTGCCAAGGAGCCCAGCCTCACCCACAGGAAAGGAGATGAGACTCCTAGTAGGCAGGGGCTGCTGCCCAGATGTTAAATGCTTTTGGAATCTCTTAGATGTGGAAATATTTTTTCGAACATGAAAATGCAGCTGGTAGAATTTCAATGGAAGTATAATCCATGTAAAATATATTTTAGTTGATATTTTGTAAAATGCACTTTTTGTGTGTGTCGATCCTGGTTTCCCAGATCTGTATTTCAGTGTTTACAAGGGAGGGGGTACCTTTCCTAACCTCCCTTTTGACAGAGATTAGAAGTACTTCTTTAAGAAAAATAAATAAATTTGAGAAATTGTATTGATTTAGAAAAGAATCATGTCCTGTGTGTCTTGTGATTTTGGGGGGTGTTTGTTTGGGGGAGTTTTGTTTGGGGCTCTCCATCCTTGCTTTGGGTCCTATCCTGGTTAGTTACCCTGCTAACTAACAGTGCTCACTAAGGCTAATGGTGCAGAGCTAGAAGAAAGAGTGGGAAGAGACACGTAACACGCACTTGGAGTTAACATCAAGGTAGCCACAGCTTCTGGGTTTGTGACATTCTTGGGTTGCCAGACCTGGCTTGGTCACTGACCTGCCTGGAAATTAAGGTGATCTAAATACTTAAAGATCTTAAACTTGGGGGACTTCTGGCTTCAGTATCTTACAACTGGCATTCTTTTTGTGGTGTGGGAGCAGGACCACATCTTGGGTCCAAGGGTTTATGACTGGTGGAGTGGCTGTGTACCCTAGCCCCACCTGCTAGCCCAGTCCAAATCCATGTTGGCTGAAGTAATGTGAGGTAGAGTATAAGCTTTTATCCCCAATGCTCTCCACAAGCTGTTCATGATAGGGTCAGCCATCAGTGTGCTGCCCACAGGAGTTTTTAAGAGGTATCATTTTGCAGACATGTACCAAGTAATCTCACCACCAGAAATCTATATATGCATTGACTAGAAGCCAACAGCAATATGGTAAAGGGTCAGAAGTGGCCTGAGAAGGCACCTCAGCACACAGCTGGGATGTAGGGAGCCAGCTCCGGCAAGTGGGAAGGCTACCGAACCTCTCAGTTCTGACCTTTACCCTGTGTTTTCTGTGCCTGGGTTTGGAAGGCTGTCCGTGAACACACACACACACACACACACACACACACTTCATTTTATCCTTCAGGACCCCTCATCTGCCTGGTCCTTCGTCACCCTCTGGGTATAACCTATCTTGAGATCAATACTTCCTCCCATCTAGTGGTGTGCTGTCATGGCTAGAAATTGTTTAGGGTAAGATCAACAGAGATGGACATGGTGGGGAACATGACTGTAATTATCAGCACTCTCGATCCAGAGATCAGCCTTGGCTCCTCAGTGAAACCCTTAAAAACCTGTAACAACAACAAAAACACAACACGTTGCAGCTACCCTCAGAATCTACCTGTCAAGTGGCAGTGAGGACTAAAGGAAACAATACAAAACTTTAACACTTTGTTTGACCCCCCCAGCCCTGTTGTCTGTCTCACATGTAGAGTCAACCTTGAGTATTTAGCTGTGTTCTCTGTTCAGAGAGGAACTGGTTGAATACTGCCTTTCAAAGCACCCTGGGGGCTGACTGTAGCCCACATGGCCACTGGGCACATCTTGGTTCCAAACAAGGAGGCACTTTCTGTGTGCTTGTAGGTTATCTTGAAGTGTATATTGGCCACACGTGGTCCCGAGGTACTTGTCCTTAGGCCCTGCCCAGAATGTCCCAGTTAGCCTACTGCTTTAAGATAAGCATTGATAAGCTTATCACAAAGATAAGCATTGCTCAGTGGATAAGCATTGTGGTCCCCAAGAATTACTAAACCAAAATGTCACCATGGAGACATTAGCCAGGGCTTGACAGAGTGGCCCTGTCCTGGACTGAGGAAGGTAAGGGCCGATAAAGATAGATCTCCTTTATGTCTAGACCCGGCGGGGTGATGGGCTGCCCTGCCTTCAGATCACCGTTGGAGGGACGGCTCTGCCAGGGCACTTTAAGGCAGGATGGTGGGTGCAAGCCTTACGTTCAGCCTCAGAGGGCATGTGCTGCGAGACCCGGGACCTCAGCCTAGCTCTTCGCTTTCCAAGTCTCTTTGAGCTTTTGTCCCCAGGCCCGGGGGGTCTGGAGTGGCCCTGACTCAGCGTCCTCTCCCCGGCGAGGGTCTGCCTTCCGCCTCCCCAGACAGCTCCTAGGACTCAGGAACCCTCCCCTCTCCTCGCCCCCC